TCTAATATTTTATATTTTATATATATATATACTGTCTCTTATACACATCTAGATGTGTATAAGAGACAGATGTATAACATTGTTTTGAAATTGCTCTGATAACAATAAAGGTAATTTTACATTATAAAAATGTTTTACCTCCAAAATGGCAGCCATCTTGGAATTTTTTGTGTTGACGTCATCATTCCGATTAATTTATTTTTACGAGAGTGAAGAGTAACTATTTAGCCAAGTTCTAGTTACATTTGATATACATAGCATATGTAAAAGTGACTAAAAACATACATTTATTTCCCCTACCCCCATCTTAATTATTCCAAAATAGGATATTTTATGTCAAAATTTCAAAGTGCTATAAAAAAAGTTCAAGCTCTAAGAATGGGGATTTTTTTTCTGAGACACTATATGATATACTGATTCAGAAAGACCAAAAATAAATTTTCCTTTATTTTTTTTCCGTTAATTTCCTACTGCACCCAGTCTAATAGCAACGGAGTAGTATCACGTGGTATCGTGACGTAACACTGTGGTAGGCCTACTCTATTATGGTCATGATGTAATACGTTATGTTATCATAGCCATAGTCGGGACAGGGCTTCAAAGAAAGTATATTTTTGGGGTGAGAAAGTAATGTAGTTAGATATCTAAAGTCTGAAAGCGCTCAAGGCGTGAGTGTACTGTAACTTCCTTCTCTTCTAATTAATGATTACTTCGTGTAACGATGCAAGCTACTCTCGTCTAGCACAATAAAAATAAGAAAAAGGAAACAAAATATTTGGAACACAAGAAAGAAAAGAAAATAAAGGAAATGGAAAGAAAGATATGGGAACAAAATGAAAGAAAAGTAAGAAAACCTAATAAGAAAGAAAAAGGAAAGGAAACAAGGTAAGTAAACAAAGTGAAAACAACGTTAGGCCTACGTATATAAAGAAACTTATATGAAAACTGCGATGGCTGTTGCCGGTCCCCAGACGCCCAGCCATAATTCTAAATTTCAAATATTTTAAACCATAGTACTCACACTCGTACGAGACCTCCAGATACTTGAATGTTCCATAACAGGGGTCACCAAAAACACCGTTACTAGCCTGGACATTACACGACTTCTTTCCATCGCAAAGCTGGTTGACCTTAGATATTGATGATTGCGCAATGCACGACGTGTCTTGGATGCTGCTCGAGTGCCAACAGCGTTGGTTATAGGGCACAGAACGTCCGTAGCTGGCACAGAGAATATTAATCTTGTGGTCGCCACAGTCGATGCTCATGGTTTTATGTTCACATACGAATCTAGTGATGGCCGCATCTGTGAATCAAATCATTATTACATTATAAAATCAATCAATCATTATTATTAGAGACAGCGTTAAATTGATACGCTCGTATTTGAAACATTTTAAACGATAAGACGGGATCTCACAATAAAGAGATAAACTCTAAAGTCGTCTTACGATGCATTAATGTAAGCCGTAAAGGAGAGGAATTTGCGTTGATTCAGATGTTACTGCATCTCAATTAACGATGTTCAACATCGTATACAAAGTGATGAGAACGGCGATGGAGCTTGAATGAAAGAACACGAAATACATCGTTCTGGTTTGCCAAATGCTATACTGAAGTCAATTGAGGTAACGCCTCAATATAGGCTTACAAGAAGTTGTATTAATTAGTAAGCTTTTAAATTAAAATGGATTTCTACTCACTGCACCCGAGAAAAGCTGCAAAGAGGCAGACTGCGAGAAAGGTCTTCATGTTTGATGTGGTCTAGTTTAACGATGGGAGATGTACTGTAAAATAAGTAAAGTCACTCATGTTATAAGGTAATAATTGGACCTTCATTTAATTCCTCCTAAGTATAGGTGTGTCGTCGACTTAATGCAATCATTATATTTTAACGGATGTTAACAAGATAAGTTTGAAGAATGATACCTCATCTCATGAAAAGGTGTGAATAAGATCAACGTTTTACCACAATTTATTAAAGATAAGAATCAACAAGGTCATCTAAAATGGAGTTGTTTACTCACTGCTGCACCCGAGAAAAGCTGCTAAGAGGCATACTGCGAGAAAGGTCTTCATGTTTGGTGTAGTTTAGTTTAACGCTGGGAGATGTACTGTAGAATAAGTAAAGCCATTCATGTTATAAGAAGCGAATTTGCAGGACAAGCGGTCCGACATGTCTGACGGAGGAGTCCGAGCCAAGGGGCTGACGAAGCCTCGGTCGACAGCCCAGAAAACTATATAAACTCACTTGTAGGGTTCACAGGGAAAGTTTCTAAAATGTGCTTTTATGACCACAATATTAGAATTGGCAGTCAAAACAACGTTATTTGGATAGACAAATTACTATTTTTTTTTTAATTTCTGATCCGACGACCTATAGTCATGCGTCGGACGACCGGGGGGTCCAGGTCATGTCCGAGGGGGGAAAATTCCTCCTTCCTCCACTGTCGCCACCACTGGTGATAAGGTAATAATTGGACCTTCATTTAATTCCTCCTAAGTATAGGTGTGACGACTTAATGCAATAATTGCATTTTAACGGATGTTATGAAGGTAAGTGTGAAGAATAATGGTATTAAACAAAATCTCAGGAAGAGGTGCGAACAATTAAGATAACCTTTACCACAAAGAAAAGAATCAAAAAGATCTTTCAGTCGTTAACCTTTATCAGGTTTCTATTTCATTTAGGTATTTATTTGATGCAGCACCTTTAATA